CTCACCCTGACCATTTCCCCTCTGCTCGAGTCCTGACCCAACTGTACAGCGCCTTGGGACGTCCTCCCGACGTGAAAGGCGCTCTATAAATGGAATCGTGTTATTGTTGTTGTTGTTGTTGTATCAGTTATATCTCCTGAATTGAGAAACAAAGACACCCAAAAATGTCTTAAACTTATCTATAATCTTTCCAGAATATATTACAAAAATATTTTGGGAAATAAGCTCCCATGACAGCCATGTAGATAATATAGCACTACATGTCCACAAATTAAAATCCTTGAGTGTACTGAATTACCTGATCTCAGCTGGGATAATAGTTTGCCTCAGGTCTTTTCATGCTAGAGAGTGAAAACTGGCTGTTTCTGCAGTGATTCCCTACTTAGAGAGGCAAGTGTGTGGAAATTGGTAGAGAACAGGTTTGGGCTCGATTGTGATATCTTTCATAGTCAAATTGACTGCTGATACTCATTGTCATTGCTCACAAATGAAGTATGGGAGATTGGATGGGGTATTGGATAATTAATTTTCTCTTTGACCAAGCCTTCAGCTCCCCTCTCGACTCTCTTCCCCCTCCTCGCTCCATCCCTTCCCTCCCCTCACCCTGACCATTTCCCCCCTCCTCGCTCCCTCCCCTCCCCTCACCCTGACCATTTCCCCCCTGCTCGGGTCATGACCCAACTGTGCAGTGCCTTGGGACGTCCTCCTGACGTGAAAGGCGCTTTATAAATGGAATCTTGTTGTTGTTGTTGTTGTTAATGCGCAAAGAATTTGTCAGCATTTCAGGAGAGGAGGAAGGGAGTGTATATTGGCAACTGTAAATATCAGGAATGATCTTAAGATCATTATTGCAGTTCAGTTTGATTGACTTATGTTTGTTTTCATGGTTCGTAGCTTAACCTAAACAAAATCTTGCATTTATATAGCACTTTTCACATAGGAAAAAGTATTTCAGCGAAAGAGGCTTGATTTGATTATTTGCCTTGTACTCACTCTGAGATATCCACTAATCTTTATTTAGTACTGAGATGTGTGAATTAAAGTCTAAGAAGAAAACTATTAGTGTTCCTAAACTCAGTCTGTGACAATAAATAGTGAACTCATCATAAAGAACTGGATACTAAATTGTGAATTTTCATAGCTGAAGGCAAATACTGTCACTTTTATCATTGTACTAATGCTGTAGTATTCTAACTGGCTTAGCAATGCAAGTGTTTAACAGCTTTGAAAGTCTTTCTTTGGGTGCTGATTAAAGATGATCTTGAACTGCCTGCACTTTTGCTTTTAGGCTTTATTAACCATTTCAAAAGTAACTGAAAACAAATTACACCATAAAATACTGCACAGTGCCTACAATACAGTGGGGTGAGAGATTGTAATCCTAACAATTTGTGCATTTTCCATCTATTATTTTGACTCCTGCATTTTATGACATTGATTTGAATTATTTTTCTTTTTAATTGCTGAAATGGTACATTTCACAAATTACTTCAGACTTGGTACTTACTGATATAATGCCTGCTGTCACACGTGCTTTATTCGTTTTAGACATCAATAGTGAGCAAACAGATATCTGCAGTTTCCCTTTGTTCATTCTGTTCAATGCATCACTTCTGCATACAAGATGAAAGCATTCACAGATATAAGAGAACAAGATTGAAACTGCAATTTTTTTAAAAAAATTGAGCTGCAAGGATAAGGATTTTATCTGAGACAATTTTTTAAAGGAGCAGTGTGTCTTTTTATTTAATGCTAATTTTTTAACCAAACAAAAATGATCACATCTTTCTGGAGGCTACAATAAATGATTGTTTTGAGATAATCTGTGGCCTCCACAGCCCTGTCTTCCTCCAACTCACCTGGAAGGACAGACACAATAAAAAGCCAATCACTGCTACAGTGAATACAATATAAATTTACATTGATACCACTTCTTTCACATCAGGAGGACATCTCAAAACACTTGACATTGCTGTCAGGGCACCCGAGCAGAGAGTGGAAGCCAAGGGGGAGGGAAAGGCACATCACAGAGGTGGGTCTTGATTATGGCATTCGGTAGAGGGGGAATTGAGCTAGCGTCACTGGACACAGGAAAATCCAGCCGCTTTGACAGATCTGACTTTTAAATTTAACCCTAACAGAGAGCTATCCCATTTCAAAAGAGCTCAGCTACTTATTTAAATGGCAGATATTTGGCACTAGAATTAAAGCACCTCACCAACATCCTTGACATGAAGAATAACATGATGACTAGTTGGCATTATTTCAAGACAGTATTGCTGAATGTAACCGAAATATTGGCAGAAAATAAGCGTCATTGACAAGAAAGCAAATGTTAAGAGGTTTTTAAATAATGAGAGACACAAGTATATAAATAGAAGCAGGTTATTTGACATAGACTGATAGAGCATACCCAGCAGTCTTAAATACAAAATAAAATGCCTCAAGCAAGATGAATGCTTAGAATAATGTCTTCCCACAGAGGAGGGGATATGTGGAACAGACTATCAAGAAGAGCAGTCAATTTGTATCCATTAAATCCTTCAAGAAATAGTTGGACAAGAATCGACTGAGAAAGTTATTAGAGGAAAGTTGCAGATTGAAATGAATAAATATTGAATAAGACACAGGAGTGATGGGAGCCAGTGGTAGATAAAGTGGGGTGAAATCCATGAATGAGTGGGGTTTATATAGCTGTGGATGGGCTGGATACCTTTTACTCATTCTATATTTAGTGCCTATCTAGTGATGGAACAGAGAAGCTATGTAATAACGTTTGTGGTATTCCTTAAACTGTTCCTACATTTATTAACCATTAATAGCTATTCCATTTTTATTTAAAAAATCTAGTTATTTCATCCGACATGAAAGGCGTTATACCAATGAAATTTGTATTGTATTGGTGTGATTATGTGAAGCACAACCATATTTTCTGATAAACAGGAGCTTACAAAAACATTTCCTGCATTTTTTGTTTGTAACACACGATGATAAAGTAAGGTTGTCACAAATGTCATTAATGTTTTTGCTGGGACTACGTTGTAAAATATGCAGTTTGGTTTTAAGTATCCTTGAATTTATTGAAGAAATATTTTAAGGAGCACCAGGATTCTTTAACGAACAGCAAATAGCACACTATTTCAGTTACAAGGTATGCTCCAATAGAACAAGGCCCCACTAGCCAGATAAACTATGTAAGGCATCTATCCAAGAGATGGATGAAAATCAGTTTAGGAATGGGATGCAAGAAAAAGCATGGACTGAGGTAGTTTAATGCAATGTGGAAATTCATGGGTCCTGAACTGCTGAAACCATTAAATGTCTTACCAGGGAAAAAAACAGTTAAGGAATGAATATTATACAATTTAATTGCTTGATTTATTTCTAGGGAGAAGGGAGTAGATTTATAGATCCATTCATTAGGGGATGAATTGGGCTGAATAGAATCAATCAAAATGCAAATTGCACATTGTCTGTGAAAGAAAAATGTTTGACCAAAAGACTGTTTCTTGTTCAATTCTTACTTATGGTTTTATGCAATGTATGCAATCCACAATAGGGTACTCAAGATAAACATCCTTGGATAAAATTATAAGTATTTCTTTAGATACATAAACTGACAATATTAAAATATAAATTATCTGAAGTTCTACATTTGTGGTCATATATGCTTTCCCTTCTCCCTGTGTTGTCACTGTAAACAAATCGTATTGCATTGTTCTCTATCGTAATACATTTTCCCCTTGTTTTCATCAATCTGTGCTTCCTCCTACAAATTTATGAAAGCCAAAGGTCACATAACCATTTTTTGATTTATCTTGTTTTTCTTCTCTTCTCTCCTCTCTTCTCCCTTCTTCTCTCATCACTCTTCTATTTTATCCAAAGTTCAAAGTGTATTTCAAATTATTATTGGCTTTGGCCCTTCACCTGTCTTCTCAGTTTCACAAAAAACAGGGTTTAAAATATGTTTTACATTTGCTGGTTGTGTATCATGATATAATTCTATCATTTTGAATGTGTTCTGGGCAAAATAATTCAAATCATAAATTTACAATGACCGTTCGCAATCGAACAAATGGATGTAATATCTGCTGGTGTTGTGGAATCTTTATATGTGTGGTATGCTGGAATTTTGGCATACGGTGATCGTAGCTCCTTTAGGAATCCAGACTTACTCCAAAGTTACTTTGCACAATGGCTTTAGTCTTTGATTGTTCCCTATATTTAACCAATTCTGCATTAATACTATAATACGTTTAAAAATAATTGGGTGAAAAATGTGATATTATATGTGATAATTATCACATAATTCAAATTACCATTGCTTTAAAAGTTGAGTTTATGCAGTATTCTGTGAACTGGCCCTGAAATACCATTGACCCGGCAGGTTCAATGGTCACTAGAAGCCGTCTCTGGCCGAAATATTTCAATGAAGACTGAAGGTGTTCACATGTGACCAATCATCGAATAAGATATTGCCAGGAGTGGAAGGTCCCATGATCTGATTATTATCACATTGAATGTCACATGGTTTATCCCAGTTACCACAAAACACTGCATCTGGCAATAAAGCATGATCTAATGACTTAGCACCCAATAAATGTTCAAAGAGAAAGCATCCTCAGACACTGAATCTTTTGTGTTTGAGAATGACTGGGAAAGGTAACGCTTTGCTGATCAGAATGGTGATTGCTTTAGTTTTTTTTACGGACATTGCATATTCAGAACTGAAGATTTATAACGGAACTGCTTAGTGTTGCGTGTATCTATAAAATAAAGCCCTATTTACGCAATCTGGGGTAGAAATTCCATTGAATGTTATATGTGGCACCTTTGGTGATGCATGATTATAATAGGAAATCACAGTAGTCGCCAACTGAAGGCAATGAATGCAGTGCTTAATCAAATTTCTGTCCATGTTTGCTTCATATTTGTAAGAATATTAATAATTATTATTATATTTGTAATACTGAAATCATTACTTCTGTTTCATTTTTTAGAGCCAACTGTAGCTCTGGAACCAGGTAATTAAATTTTATCATTCAAAAGTTATCTGTATAATCTTAAAGTTGAAAGAATGGCCAGGATCTGAAAAGAATCATCTGGTCAGCCCTACAGTAAATTGGAAAATTCTACATCAAAAACTTAATTTATATAGCAGCTTACACATAAATGTAAATATCTCAAAATGCATTACGAAAATTGATTACAAATGAAGTGAATGTTCTTTAAGCAAATGCAATTTGTGGTGATGTAATGCAATGTCCCATAACTAACAATGATATTAGTAGCCAAACTAATTTGAATTTGCTACACTAGTCTCTATCTGTCACACTACTTAAATGAACATTTTTTTGACAAAAAAGATTTTTAAATCTCTCTTAAAACTGCTGACACAAACTTATGACAATACGTATGGATCTGCATGACAGGAAGTTTAAACTTTTCTGGACTATTGCACTTCTTTAGCTATCTATCAAAGTGACATATAAGTGTAGATTGTTGCTGTTAGCAGAATACCAGCTAAATGAATACAAAATTAGAATAAATCAATCCAATGTGTAGCTGGGTCGAACTTCTCGGATGCGACATTTGAGAAAAGTTATGGAGAATGGGTGAAGCCTGCCTCCAGTGTTTCTAGGATCAGTCAATTTTACAAATTTGTAAAATATAATAAGGTTGCTATAGTTTTTTTAATACTGTTAATCTGCATAAGGATCATAAATTGGAAAATATGTCCCCATATCTCAGGCATATGAGAACCAAAATGTTTTTTGAGGCGTTTTGCCCACACAATATACAGTCAATTTACTTTACAGTATATTCTGTAAAGCTCTTTGAGACATCTAGAAGATGTAATAAGATGCTATATCAAATGCAAGGATTATTATTATTATTAAACCTGCTGGACTGCAGTGAAACTCTAAAAACTAGCTCCTGGGATAAATAACTAGTCACTCACTCAATATCCTGGCTATTTGAGTATTTTGTACTTTCAAGATACTTTACATTAGATAACTAGTGAACTCTGCTAAGTAGTCATTTGAGCTATTTCCTTTGGGGTGGAGAATTATCAGAGTTTCACTATAGTTCAATTGGGATGTATTTGTTCCAATTTTTTAGTAAAGTTAGCAAGTGCAAATCAGATCTCTTGGGCAATATCAGGTCACCTTATGAGGATTTCCAAGTTTGCTCCACAGACCCATTGACACACAGGTACACAGATATAATTACACACATACCAATGCAAATGGAGATACGTAGACACAAATACAGAAAAACAATTATCAGCACACCTGCAAACAAATGCATGTATAAAAACATAGTATGCAGAAACTCACACACTCCATGAAGATAAATAAACACACGCATACATTATTTACAAGAGTATTATGAGGAAGCTTTAGGGAGAAACAGGCTTGTCGCTGAAATCTTCTTTGTAATTTGTAAATGTGGAAATTAAAAACGCAGTGAGAATGTTTATAAGGCATATAACCATGCAGCCATCTCATTTCAGAATGTTTCTATTGCAGCAAAGGTGAAGCCAGGAAAGGAAACAAAAAAGGAAGGTAAATTTAATTGGACTGTACATCACATAAACTGTTTTTTTTATTAATGAATCGATCATCAGGAGTGACAATAGAAGGCCACAGTTGTTTGTGTATCTCTCTCTTTGTAATCTTTTCTTTATTATCAGTGGCTTAACATGTATGGAGAATGTTTAAATGGCTTCTGTGCATTATTACTGTAGCATGCATTCTCCTTTGTAAAGAGGGGACATGGTCAACTTCTAACATAATTTATGTTTATAGTGAGGTCTGCATTTGTAAAATTACATATTGATCAACAGGTAACTATTTTAACAATGCCTATTTGTGGATGAAACGCGGCAGCCAATTGCGCACAGCAGTGTCCCACAAATAGGTCGCGGATTGAAAATGACCAATTTATTATTGTTTTTTTTGGAGGGATTATTATTATTAGGTGTGTGGAGTAAGGAAATTTGCCCACGGTTTTGCTCTGTCTGGAATTGAACCCAGGTGTCTCGCTTGCAAGGCGAGTGCTCTAACCATTGAACTATAGGACTCCACATGTTACATTGATTAAGGCAGCAGTAACTCACAGGTTTTAACCTTCAATCATTTTGCTTAGTTTTTGAATTGTATTTTTATTATAGGTCAAAAGATAGAGATTGGCTCAAATCTTGGTGAATTGTTTAGGTTACAATTATCACAACAATAATAATACTTCCATTTTGTTATAGCGATTTACAGGATGTATTATAAAGTGGGAGTGATTGTGTGTTTTGTTGGCAAACATGGCAGCCAATTTGCACATAGCAATGTCCCACAAACAGCCATGGAATAAATGATTGATTTTATTTGGGGATTGTTGTTTAAGACTCCGGGAGAAACTCTTTCTGATTATTGCTGTGGGATGCTTAACATTCAATCCACACGCCTAATAATAATCCCTCCAAAACCAAAAACAATAATAAATTGGTCATTTTTAGTCTGCGACTGTTTGTGGGACATTGCTGTGCGCAATTGGCTGCCGCGTTCGCCCACAAATATACAGTCAATTCACTTTACAGTGTGTTCTGTGAAGCGCTTTGGAACATCCTCCCGATGTGAAAAGCGCTATATCAAATGCAAGGATTACAACAACAACAACAACAACAAGATTCCATTTATAGAGCGCCTTTCACGTCGGGAGGACATCCCAAGGCGCTGTACCGTTGGGTCAGGACCCGAGCAGGGGGGAAATGGTCAGGGTGAGGGGAGGGAAGGGAGGGAGCGAGGAGGGGGTAGAGAGTCGAGAGGGGGGCCGAAGACTCGGTCAAAGAGAAAGGTCTTGAGACCGGCCTTGAAGGAGGAAAGGGAGGAAGCAAGGCGAAGGCACTGGGGGATAGAGTTCCAGAGCCTAGGGGCTGAGAGGCTGAAGGCCCAGCCACTGATGGTAGGGCGGTTGGGGCGGGGGATGTGGAGCAGACCGGAGCCAGAGGAACGGAGGGTAGAATATTATTATTATTATTAATGTCTCATCTGAAGGACGACAACTCCGACAATGCAGCAACAACATCAACAAATTGCATTTATATAGCATCTTCGGGAGCAAGTCTCAAGGTGCTGGACAGTGAAGGGTTTGCTGTATTATCAGTGGGAGGAGCAAGACAGTGCAGGGCTTTGAAAGTGAGGCTATGAATTATAATGATCCTCTGCATTCATCCTTCCAGTAAGAACATTTGTTACACTCTTTGAAATTCCTAATCTTAAAATATGTATCAAGCTATTAAGCTATTTACAGTCACTTTCAAACTTTTAACATTATTTACACAGTCTTAATTTTAATTAAGAGCTGTTACAAAGTCACTTTGTAATTGTACTATTGCCTTAGGCCAAATGGATTTCCTCTATGCAAGAAACTCTCGGCTGAAATTTCACCCAGTCTTAGCCTTTTAAAGATCATTTTGTCTTAAAATGTAAGATCCTACAATATTGTGGAAAATTCTTAAATTCAGTCTTAATTTAGCAATTGGCTTTGTGCAACTCGTTTTTAAAAAAAAGCTTCCAAAATGTTTTAAAGTTTTTAAATAATTCTGACCATAAATTGTCAGATGAGGTAGAATTTTGGGCCTTAATATTTTAATACATAGTATAAAATACATACACAAAAATATCCAATAATGTAACAGTGGAGAGCCTTATCAATGTTTTTATCACCTTGAAGCTGGAAAATGCTAACTCTGCTCGCTGGTCTTCCTCACGCTTCCCTCCAAAAGCTGCAGACTATTCAGATTTCTGCATTTCATGTCCTCTCCCGCACCAGGCTCTGTGAGTCTATCAGCCCCATCCTCACCTGACTATACTGGCTTCCCATCCCCAAAGCATCGCGTACAAGATCTTGGTCCCCATTTTTAAAGCCCTCCATGGTCTTGCCCCAGCCTACCTTTGTGACCTTCTAAAACTCTATCCATCCGCCCAGTCCCTTCGCTCTGCAGGCACTATCCTGCATCACGTCCTTGTTTACAACTCACAGCTTGATTTTCCAGTGGAATATTGTCATGGAATGTCCTCCTAACTTCTTGTTGTGGTTGTACATGCCACAATGCATCACCTATTACGGGAACTTTAGAGAGGAATATTTGTCTGCTGGGTGTGCCTGGGAATACAGCGACCAGCCCCTCTGAATTCTAAATCATTTTTTGGAGAAGAATTAAGGTGATTGCTTTTTCTGATTTAAATATTTTTTTATTGGGGGTGGAGAGGTGCAATATGGTTGATGTGCTATGCCACCCAGCCATGGTCTGAAATGTATTTTGTGAGAGATTCATTTGGCAGCCATGAACATACCAATCAAATTACTGCCTGCAGCATGTGGAGTGTGGACTCACTCCAAAAGCAAAAGCAGCCTGTGTGACTGTGTGAGTGATGCTGCAGTCAGTAAATTCAGCCAAATTCAGAGTTGAAAGTGGAAATTGTTCTCTGCAAATATGTGGTTATAATGATAACTAACAATAGATTAGCTTTAACAAAAACAGAGAGAGCTGGGAAACTCAGCAGGTCAGGCAGCATCTATGGAAAAAGAAAAGTGAGTCAATGTTTCGGGTCCACGACCCTTCGTTAGTTCTGGAGAATGTCACAAAACACTTGATAAACACTTGTTCAACACTAAACACTCCAAGACGCTGCCCAGAGTGAACAACAACAACTAAATTACATTTATAGAGTGCATTTCACGTCAGGAGGACGTCCCAAAGTGCTGAACAGTCAGGTGTCGGGGCCCGAGCATGGGGGAGGGGTGGTGTAGGGGTGAGGGAAGGCAGAGAAGTGGGAGGGAGACCAAAGGCACGGTCGAAAAGAAGGGTCTTGAGACCGGCCTCGAAGGAGGCAAGGGAGGAAGTGAGGCAAAGGGACTGTGGGATGGAGTTCCAGAGTGTGGGGGCAGAGAGGCTAAAAGCCCGGCCACCGGTGGGAGGGCGGGTCGGGCGGGAGACACGGAGCAGACCGGAGCCCGCTGAACGGAGGGAGCGGGCAGGTTGGTAGGGAGTCAGCAGGTCAGAGAGGTAGGAGGGGTCAAGGCCATGGATGGCCTTAAAGGTGAGGATGAGGTGAGAACTCAATCCTCTGGGGGATGGGGAGCCAGTGGAGTCGGGCGAGGGTGGGAGTGATGGCGTCACAGAGCCTGGTGTGTGAGAGTACACGAGCTGCAGAGTTTTGGATGACATGCTGCTTGTGAAGGGAAGAGTTGGAAAGGCTGATGAGGAGGTAGTTCCCGTAATCGAGCCTTGATGTGACGAATGCATGGGTGAGGGTTTCGGCAGCCTGAGGGGTGAGGCAGTGGCAGAGTCTGGCAATGTTGTGGAGGTGGTGGTAGGCAGTGCCGGTCATGGCGCGGATATGGGGGAGAAAGGACAGTTCAGGGTCAAACAAGATACCCAGGTTCCTGACTGGCTTAGTGAGGTTGAGTGTGCAGCCATGGAGGCTCATGCTGCCAGCGCCTGAGGTGCGGAGGCGCTGGCGTGAGCCAATCAGGAGGGCCTCGGTCTTGCTGACGTTGACTTGGAGAAAATTGGCCCTCGTCCAGGCCTTGATGTCAAACAGGCAGTCAGTCAGGAGGCCAGTAGTTCTGGAGTTCAGGGTGGAGGCAGAGAGATAGAGTTGGGTGTCATCCGCATACATGTGAAAATTTACCTTATGTCTACGGATGATGTCACCAAGGGGGAGCATGTAGAGGGTGAAGAGGAGGGGACCGAGGACAGAGCCCTGAGGAACACCGCACGAGATGGTGCGGGGGCTGGAGGAGAAACCGTTTGCTGCGATGAAGTGGAGGTGGTGTGAAAGGTAGAACTTGAACTAATCAAGGACAAAACCTTGAAGGTTAAGATGGGAGGAGAGGTGGTGGAGGAGGATTGAGTGGTCCACGGTGTCAAAGGCGCAGAGAGGACGAGGAGGCAGAGGGAGCTCTGGTCACATATGGTCAGGATGTCATTTGTGACCTTGACCAGAGTAGTTTCCATGCTGTGGGCAGCATGGAAACGCGATTAGAGGGGTTCATGGAGGGAGTGGGAGGAGAGGAAAGAACGAAGCTGGGAGGCATCGGCTCTCTCAAGGCCCTTGGATAGGAAAGGGAGATTTGAGATGGGCCGGTAGCTAGATAGCTATGATGGGTCAAGGGAAGGTTTCTTCAAGGTGGGGGTGATAGTGAAGGGCATTATATAATTGCAAGCTGTTGATAGGTATGGAGTGGGAACCTGATTAAGGTAACAAATAGGGTAAGTGGGAGATGGCTGAAGGCACAATAGATAGGCTTTTCGAGGATTTGAAAGAAGAGCATACAAAATAGAGAGTTTTAAAGGGAGAGATCCAGAGAGTGTATTTGTCTAAATAATACATTTCACATATTTCCATTGTGCTGGTGCCCCTGCATTATTACACATAATTTCCAGAGGACACATAGATAACCTAAGATAGGTTTCTGCCAATGCTAACAAGCCATGTAGAATTAGTACAGAGAACCTCACATATAAACTTTCTCTCTCGGCTTTAGGCAAACATTTCAGTCCATT